CTGTATATATATATATTTATATTTAAAATGACTTTTACACCAGGGCAATGATTTTCAGACAATCTTATAGGGCTTAGTCACCTTATTGGAATTTCATTTTTATTTTACTATATTTGGGCAACATTGCTTGTCAGCCTGTCACTGTCAAACGACTGTGAGCAGCAGCTGAGATTCATTGGTTTGCAGTGTCAGCCCCTTGAACTTGACCCACTGCAGAAGTTGACAACGCCGCTCACGATCATCTCTCCCCCTTTCTGATTACAATCACGTGACATTTAGGCAAACCCTTGATAAGAGCACACTGACTAAGCTGAAGTAATTGTAATCAGGAAGGCAGAGAGATGTTTAGAAGCAGAATGTTTTGTACCCTATGTAGGGGGTCCTGATGGAGGGTCTGCAGTCTCTTCAGTGTCAATAGGGCTGTTGGTGTAGTTTCAGCAAGGGTGTCTTGTATCTGAATTTGTAGCTCCCAGGGACGTGCCTACATAGGGACATGTATGTGTACAGTGTACCCAAGAGGCCATTTAATTTCTAGATTGGTTCAACGTCATGATGCCATAAAGTCGGGTGCATGCGCAGGTTCTAAAGAAATGGAATGTGAATACATGCAGTGGGACTAGGTGGATGACCGGACGTGTTTGTATTATGTTCCAGTGTTCTTGTATTTTTGTATTTTTGTACTTTGTCTATTGCAAAATTGAAATAAAATCTTATTATTTAAAAAACAAATGATGCCATAAGGTCCACCTCACTGGGATGTAGATCTATTTTTAGCTGATCAGCACCTATATTGTAAAATATTTGCTGCTGCGGGGTTAAAGATGATCGGGGATAGGAGGGGAGGAGTACAGATTTCATGATGTACTCCACATTCTTTCATTATTATTATTATACAGGATTTATATAGCGGCAACAGTTTATGCAGCGCTTTACAATATAAGGAAGACATTACAGTTACAATACAAATCATGTCCTGACAACCCCACAAAACAGTACAGTTGAAGCCCAATTCCAGTTAAAACTGATTTTTTATTCAGCGTGGGGAAGAGTCAGAGAAGGTTTTTATTGCTGATTGTGATTCCATTGATACAGCGAGGAAAATAATGATTTGATCCCCTGCAGATTTTGTAAGTTTGCACACTTACAAAGAAATTAAAGGTCTATAATTTTTTTAATCATAGATGTTTAAACAGCCCCGATGCTGGCGACGTACACTGTACGTCGTCAGTCACGAAGGGGTTAAATGATGGAGACAGAATATCATCCAAAAATCCAGAAAAAACACACGATACAAATGTTATAAATTTGGTTGCAGTTCAGTGAGTAAAAAAAGTATTTGATCCCCAAACAAAACATGACTTAGTAGTTAGTGGGGAAACCCTTGTGGGCAAGTACAGAGGTAAGACGTTTCTTACCTCTTGTAAGTTTGCAAAATACAAAGAAAAACTGTCAGGTTAATTATTGGCATCTATGTTTCTATTAGGTTGACTTCCCTCATTTCCTGTGTAGTCACCAGGACAGGAAGTGAGGGGAAATATTCTGTTTTTCTTTATTGAAAGAAAAACAATGGAGTCCCAGACTGCAGCTAACCCTTATCCACTTTGTCCAAGGCTAAAAAAGTAGGGCTGGAGTTGGGTTTTAACCTATATCTGTACAAGCAAGGTAGAATTCAGTGCCAGGATACAACAGAAAATCACTACATTTGAAAGCAGTCGTTGCTTTTACCACATTAGGGGCCAATAGCAACTTGAATGACCGTTCTGCAAACAAATGTTCTGAAAATTCTACTGATGTATGGCCAGCTTATCCTACTCTTTGCTATACCCCTGGTCCTAGCCCCAACACTACCTTCATCCCTAGTCCAGCCTATAAATAAAGACCTGGGCCAATCATCAGCCAATTGGCTCCCAGGTAATCAGCACTCTCATCACTCCAATGTAAGCCAGGGCTTTGGCAAGATGTGTCTGTGTGCATCGTTATGGCATATGAGAGAATAGATATGGGTCATGGAACTGTATTAAATTATACCCAGTGGTTAGTGAGAGCTTTCTGCATATGATTGCCCCAGATAAACATAGAGAACCAAAAAAAAAAATTACAGGCATAATTCTGTCAACTACAGTTCCCACTTTCTGTTTACTACAATGTGCAAGTATTAAATATGTGCTGTATAAATTCAAACTACATTATATTAATATTGCATGCCATGATTTATTTAGTAATTTGTATCTTATCTTCAAATTTCAATAAAAATTCTAATCCAAAGCAGGGGTTATAATCAATCAGTTACCCCACTCCCCTGTCCTTGTCCACCGATCACCTTTTAGTGAATAGACCTGTAAATAATAAGTTGGGGTTAAGAGTTTGGAGAGGTGAACAATCTAGGACAACATTGCTGACTGGAAAGTGAGCTGAATTGGAGAATTTTTCCAGTGCAGCTATGTTGTCCTAGATTGTTCACTTCTCCTGTCTTCTCCAAACTCTTCACCATTTTGTGAATAACCCTGTAAATGATGGTTGAACTTGGAGTGACACCTTTCATTTTAAGCAATGGTACTGACATCCTCTGTTCTCTTTTCATTCTGTTTTCATTCTGTTCTGCGGTGTGTTGTCAGCAGGCAGGGTTGCAGCCTTTTCCTATAGTTCACATTGTTCCATGCAGTCATCTTCTCTGCCGAGTGCTTCTTTACTTAGGAGAACAGAAAAAAAAAACATAATAGCGTAGATAGGTGAGGACTGAGGAATAAATTGCTGTCACCCTAGAAAAACATCCGCGTGGAATAAACAGGTGTTACAAGAGAGAAGAATCAATAAACAAACACTGACAACGCATGCCATTTACAGGTTGTCATTGTGGTGCTATGGCACTGCCGCCTTCCATTCACGTCCCAGTTATATATTGTAGGTTACTAACCAGAAACTAGACTCAGCACTGGTAGACTGGACATCCTGGCTCATATTTCTCTGCTGGCTGTTTGTGGAATATATCACATCTACAATGAACAAATGCAAATGTATTTTTTAGAAGACAAAGGTAAATGTCACCAACTTTGCCAACATAGTGAAAGGATCTGCCAACACAAAACTGGTTTATGAGTTTTTGGTGCATGCTGAAGAGTTAGGTCCCCTTTACACTCATATGTTGTGGTAGCAAAGCACATTTTACCATGTGTTACCGTATGCGCGATGCCCTGTGTTACCGTACGCACGATGCCCTGTGTTACCGTACGCGCGATGCCCTGTGTTACCGTACGCGCGATGCCCTGTGTTACCGTACGCGCGATGCCCTGTGTTACCGTACGCGCGATGCCCTGTGTTACCGTACGCGCGATGCCCTGTGTTACCGTACGCGCGATGCCCTGTGCTTTGTGTTGCGGTGCCATTTATTTAGGATGGATTCTTAATGAATGGCACCCAATGCAGAAGGACAGTAGGTGCAAATGGACCTGCACTGCTATGCAGGCAATGTACATACTGTGTTGTACATAATGCACATACTATGTGTTGCAGTACGCTGCGTTTAAAAATGCCATGGGTTTTTTTCATCTGTCGCTGTGCACTGGCAGCAAATTCAAAATGATTGGTGTGCCCTAATGCAATGCACATTATCATGGGCAGCACAGTGGCATAGTGGTTAGCGCATGTGAGATAGGGATCTTAGATTGTAAGCTCCTTGAGGGCAGGGACTGATGTGAATGTGCACTATGAAAAGCACTGCGTAAATTGTCTGCGCTATATCAATACCTGTAATAAATAAATCACACGTGCTGCAATGCACAGCAACTGCACACAGTGTAACGGGGCAATAAACCACTTACTGGTTTCTTATAACTCTGGGAGACTTTGTTGGTGAGATTCCTGCACTTGGGTTGCTGGGTCCACATTCATGCTATACATCGTATATAGAAATTGAAGCGCCACACCAATTAAAATAGTCCAGATACAACTATATTCCATTAGGGTCAGAGGACATTCAAGTAGTAGGGCTACTCTACTTCAGTGTCCTCTGACCCTAATGGAATAAAGTTGTATCTGGACTATTTTAACTGGTGTGGCGCTTCAATTCTTACATCTACTGTGTAAACTGTCAAGCCAAGGATGCTTTGGAGATCCTTTGGATTGCTGAAGCTGTCTACCCGTCACCCACATTCACATCACTAAACTACTGTTGAACGAGAAGGCAGAAAAAGAGTGCTACAACCCAGGAATTTATGTTATTAAAAAGGATGTAATACTTGAAGTTAATGTCTGCAATTAATCCACCACCCCTTGTGAGCGGTTTCTACGTTCCGCCAACGGGTCCCAGCCTGGCCAGCTGAGTACCCACGGCGCCTGACTGCAATCACACCTTCAGCTGCAGGATACCACTCCAAGCCTATGGCAACATCCATACAGTCCAGCTGTAGGAGCCATTCGTGACCCAAGCTGACAGCACCACCCACCCTTCACCAGCAGGACACCACCACGTCCATCCAACAGTGAGTCCTTAATTGCAGACATCAACTTCAAGTATTACATCCTTTTTAATAACATAAAATCCTGGGTTTTTCTGCCTTTTCATATCTGTATACAGGGT